TCCTGGAATCTTTTCCAGTTTCAACACGTCATCTTCCAACAGGGATCTGATGAAGTGGTACCGAAGCGCAATATGCTTCATTCTAGAATGAAATGCTGAATTCTTCGCCAAGTGTATCACACTCTGACTATCACTGTGCAAAACATTCTTCTCCTGTTTGAATCCCAGCTCTGTCAACAAACCCTGAAGCCATATCATCTCTTTACTGGCTTCAGTCACTGCAACGTACTCAGCTTCTGTAGTGGATAGGGTAACGATCTTCTGTACCTGTGACATCCAACTAACAGCTGTAGTTCCAACGGTGAATACATAGCCGGTGGTGCTTCTTCGGTGATCAACTTCACCGCCGAAGTCTGCATCTACGTACCCTTGCACTTCTACCTCTCCCTTACCAAAGTGCAAACACTTCTGTGTGGTGCCTCGTAGATATCTCAGAATCCACTTGACCGCTTCCCAATAAGCTTTTCCTGGATTCGACATAAACCGGCTGACCACTCCCACTGCATGGCCAATGTCTGGTCTCGTACAGACCATAGCGTACATCAAGCTTCCGATAGCTGAGGCGTAAGGTACCTGAGCCATACTCTCTTTCTCTTCTTCTGACTGAGGAGACTGATCCTTCGACAGACGAAAATGGCTAGCCAAGGGTGTGCTCACAGGCTTGGCGTCGCCCATGTTGAATCTCTGCAAAACACGGTTGATGTACTCCGTCTGAGATAACTGCAAGAGACCTCTCTTCTTATCTCTCGTGATTTGCATTCCAAGGATCTTCTTCGCTGGACCCAAGTCCTTCATGTCAAACTCCTTTGACAGCTGCTGCTTCAAACTCTTGATATCTTTCATATCTGCTCCTGCAACCAACATATCATCAACATACAGCAGTAGGATGATATAGCTGGACTGATATCTTTTGAAGTAGCAACAGTGGTCGGCGTTACACTTCTGGAAACCTTCCTTGTGCATCTTGTGCATGAAGCCGTCAAACTTCTTGTACCACTGTCTTGGGGCTTGTTTCAGGCCATACAAGCTCTTCTTGAGTCTGCACACCAGGTTCTTCTTCTTTTCTTCTGAGAAACCTTCTGGCTGGTGCATGTATATCTCCTCTTCTAGATTTCCGTGAAGAAACGCCGTCTTCACGTCTAACTGCTCGAGATGAAGATCTTCAATTGCTACAATACTCATCACGGTCCTGATAGTATTTAGCTTCACCACGGGAGCAAAAATATCGGTGTAGTCAATTCCTTCCTTCTGCTGGAAACCTTTGACAACTAGCCGGGCTTTATATCTTCTAGAACCATCATGCTCCTCTTTCACCCGGTACACCCATTTGTTGTGGAGTGCCTTCTTACCTGTGGGCAACTCAGCTAGTTCCCACCTGGTTTGAGATGAGAGACTTCATCTCATCTTTCATGGCAAGCTCCCACTTGCTCGCATCTCCACACTGACAAGCTTCATCAAAGTTTTCAGGCTCCCCACCATCTGTCAACAACAGATAGTTCATGTATCTCCTGTTGGGTACAGGAGGACGAGAAGATCTTCTTAATATCGGAGCTGGCGCGTCGGGCTCCTGCGCACCATCTTGTCCAACAGGCTCTTCTTGCTGAGGACCCTCTGCATTGGGTTCTTCCGAGAGGTTACTCGGGACATCATCTGCATCTATAAATGTGGACTCGCTCTCTGAGTCATCTGTCTTGTGCATGTCCTTGTACATCACCTTCTCGTTGAATATCACATCTCTGCTCCTGATCACCTTCTTGTTTTCGTTGTCCCAAATGCGGTAGTCGAACTCATCTTCACCATAGCCGATGAAAGTGTATTTTTTTGACTTGGGATCAAGCTTATTTCTGCCTTGATCACTAATATGTACGTAAGCTACACAACCGAAAACTTTAAGATGTGAGAGTTTTACCTTCTTTTCGCACCATACCTCCTCTGGTATTCTGTGCTCCAATGAAACCGATGGACCTCGGTTGATTAAGTAAGCTGCTGTGTTGACCGCTTCTGTCCAGAACTGCTTCGGTAGGCCTGACTGTACCCGAATGCTTCTGGCTCTCTCTGTCAACGTTCGGTTCATCCGCTCAGCTACACTATTTTGCTGAGGCGTACCGGGCACGGTTCTCTCCATTCTGATTCCGTGCTCATAGCAGAACTTCTTGAATCCGGTGTCTTCATACTCACCGCCATTGTCGGTCCTGAGCTTCTTTATTCTCAGACCGGTCTCATTCTCGACCATAGCTTTCCATCTCCTGAAAGCTTCAAATGCTTCTGACTTATGCTTCAGAAAGTAGACCCACACTTTCCGAGAGTGATCATCGATAAAAGTCACGAAGTAGTGTTTTCCACCAATGGACGCGGTGGTTGTTGGTCCCCACACATCTGAGTGAACGAGCTCTAGCTTCTGCTTCCTGGGGGTTCTGCCACTTGTCTGAAAGCTGACTCTCTTCTGCTTTCCAAGTATACATTCTTCACACATATCCATCTCCACTGACTGCAGTCCTGGGAGTTTTCCCTTTGTGTGCATGATTTTCATCCCCTTCTCACTCATATGACCGAGTCTCTGGTGCCACAGCTTTGAAGTCTCATTGCCTGCTGCAACTGAGATCAAACAACGTGCACCTGCTGTCATATACAGGGTATCAGTCTTTCTGCCTCGGGCAATAGTCATTGCGCCCTTTGAGATCTTCCAATCATCTCCATGGAAGGTCGTGGTATATCCTTCGCCAGCCAACTGGCCTACGGATATTAAATTCTTTCTCAGGTCGGGAATATGCCTGACATCCTTCAGCTCCCATACTGACCCGTTCAACTTAATTTTCACCACGCCTTTGCCCACAATAGCACATGGTTGATCATCACCAAGATATACGTATCCAAGATTTCTGGGGGTATATTTCTCGAAGAATTCTTTCTGAGAGGTAGCATGGAATGACGCTCCTGAATCTAACACCCAAGATTCCTCCTTGCTCTCTAAAGAGCATATCAATGCGTCATCTCCTCCTGAAGTGGAGGTGACATTCACCTCTGCCTTCGCTTCCTTCTCCTTCTGTGCGCTCTTGCACTGATTCTTGTAATGCCCGGTCTTTCCACAATTCCAACACTCGATAGCCTTCGAGCTGTTGCTTGGATTCCTTGATTTGGACCTCCTGTCCTTTGATCTACCTCTGAAGTTTGATTTTCCTCGTCCGTTTCCTCTGGTTGAATTTCTACCTCTTGACTCTGTATGCAATACTGAAGAGGTTGTAGCTTCACCAGTCTCTCGCCGTCGGATCTCCTCACTGAGAACCAAATCACGAACGTCGCCGAACTTCAACTTTTTCTTTCCCGACGAGCTACTCACAGCTGTGACTGTAGCATTCCAACTCTCTGGTAGGGAAGACAACAATATCAACGCCCGAACTTCTTCATCAAACTCAATCTCAACTGAACTCAATTGGGTTGTAACCGTATTAAGTTCATTGAGGTGTTGTGCTACTGACGCGCCTTCCGCCATTTTCAGATTGAATAACAAGGATATTAAGTTGGATATATTGTCTAAAAATCTGAATTTGTCTTTACAAGAGGAAAATAGATATTGGTTATTTTCATTGTAAAGTCCTGTATATAGAGGTTATACTTTAGAGTTTTTACTATCAGTTTTAAAATCTCATATGTTTCTGATACCAGTTGTTGGGAATTTAACGCCTAAATCCCCTAATGCAACGGAAACGCGGTATAGAAAAAGTACACCAAGATTTACGAGGTTCGGCAACTGCCTACGTCCTCGGGAGCCACACAGATAATTTCTTATTAATCAAACAAGAAATTACAATTTTAGGAGCAGATCCCTAGACTGGAATTTCTCAAATAAACACTGTAGCTACAGTGTTAATAATCAAAGGGTATGAACCCTTTCAATTCTCAACTTGAGAATAAATGATACCCCACAATTAAACCCTCTTTAATTCTCTCTCTCTCTCTCTTCTTAAATCCCCTCTCTCTCTCTTCTTAAATCCCTTTTAATCTCCCCTCAAAAATCCCGTTGAGTGCTGGAGAGAAAATCGCCTCTGCGATTTTAGGGCAGCCGCCGCCACCAGAGAAGGAGAAATCGGAGGAGAGGGGGAAGTTCTTCAGCAGCTAAACCCTAGGGCATGGGGTCTCTTTTATAGGCGGAGGTGGAGGGCTGGCGACAGCCTGTCGCCAGCGACTGCTTCGACGCCAAATTCGAGGCCGAACGCAGAGGTGGGAGCGCTCGAACGCAAAGGACGCCATCGCCAAACGCAGGGTTGCGTTCGAACGCAGAGTTGGGTGGAGGCGCTCGCACGGTTCACCGAAGGATTGCGTTCGCCGACTTCGCCTGCGTCATCTCCGCCTTTCTCGAGCTCGTCGGAGCTCCTCCGCCGTCGGTGACAACCGGAGCTCGCCTGCGTCATCCTGGAGCTCGTCAGAGCTCCTCGTCGCCGGAGGTTGGTATCCACCCCTAACCTAACATCATCATCCAGGGTTGCTGCCTTGGAAATGGAACCCTCAACCAGCAAGAAGATAAGCCAAGGTTTCTCGTCAGTTAGTCCATGCAGTCCAGCTAGGTAAAATTTAAAGATGGACCAGAAAAGGTTCAATCATAGCCCACAATTGTTCACAGATGACACAGAATATGAACTTTCAAACGATCTCATAGACAGATAAATAGGAACAGAATCAAGAAAGTTCTGAAGCCATTTATAGAACCAACTCCTCATCTGAATGCAAATCTAATGATCCATCCTGCTATGCTGAATATGTTACTATTTACCCAAATCTACACCCAGAATCAGCACATTGCTTCCAAATTTAGACAGATAAATAGGAACAGAATCAAGAAAGTTCTGAAGCCATTTATAGAACCAACTCCTCATCTGAATGCAAATCTAATGATCCATCCTGCTATGCTGAATATGTTACTATTTACCCAAATCTACACCCAGAATCAGCACATTGCTTTTTTTTATGGCTCCCCCCCCCCCCGTGTAACTTGCCTACCTAGTCCCTTCAGAAGTTAGGCTCAACATTTAATTTTCTCCCAAAAGGATGATCCCACTGTGGCAACCAAATTATGTTTGATGAGTACTTAAAACATTTATCGTCTGCTTTCTACAAATGTTTCAGTTCTGTATATGTATGCAAATTTCATTTTGGCTAGGCATTTCCACAACATTGCGGCAGTAGCAGGAAGGGAGCCTTGTCAATCCAGTGAGCAGAAACAGCACCTGTTAGTTCCATCCTTTTGGAGAATGTTCTTGTTGAGCATGCCTGAATGGAAGTATGCAGCAATTGGGTGCTTCAACGCATTTATTGTCGGAGGAATACAGCCGTTTAGTGCATTCACCATGGGAAGCTTGACATCTACCTACTTTCTAAGAGATCAGAATGAGATCAAGAAAAAGACAACGATCCACTCCCTCATTTTCCTCTTTATATCGATCTTCTCCTTCTTGACCAACATTGGGCAGCACTACAGTTTTGGAGTGACAGGGGAATACCTCACAAAGCAGGTGAGGCACCTGATGCTGTCTAAGATGCTGGCTTTTGAAGTTGGTTGGTTTGATCAAGAGGAGAACTCCCCTGGAGCCATCTACTCTCAATTTGCTAATGATACTTACATGGTCAGTATGAAAAATTCTTCTCTTACACTTTTTAAAGTAAACCTCAGCTGCTATTGCAAAAGAAAATTATTCAGGACTGAGAAAACTCAGCCTTCACATGACGTCACTGAGCCACCTGCTTATTTAATCCAGTGTAACTTAATACTAAAAAAGTTATGCATTGGCAGGTGAAATCTTTGGTAGGTGATAGAATGTCTCTCCTCATCCAGACATTCTCAGCTATTATGATTGCTTTCACAATGGGCTTGATCATTGCATGGCGTCTAGCCCTTGTGATGATTACTACACAACCCATCGTCATCCTCTGCTTCTACTACCGCAAAGCACTCTTGAAGAGCATGTCCAAAGATGCAGTCAAGGGCCAATCAGAAAGCAGCAAGGTAGCTGCTGAGGCCATTTCAAACCTCCGCACTGTTACTGCATTTTCCTCTCAGGATCGCATCCTTCGCCTCTTTGACCTTGCTCAGCAAGGCTTCTACCATCAGAGCATGTGCCAATCATGGTTGGCAGGCATAGTACTTGGCTTATCCCAGTGTCTGATGCGTTGTACCTTCGCCCTGGCTTTATGGTTCGTGATGTTTCTTTATCTCTTTTTTCATTAATGATAAGTCAAATGAGAAAATTTCCATAAAAATCAGTAACTACAATACCCTAATTAGTAGACTTTAGTCACTTATCAGTTTACATTCCACAGCGAGGAGATAAAGTAGCTCCGACTGAACTAGTTTTGCAAATGTTAAACCAGTGGATAAACCTGATACTGAAGAGATGATTTAACTTTCTCATAGGTATGGCAGCAGGCTCACAGTGCATGGCTACATCACCCCTAAGTCTTTATTCCAGACCTACTTAATCCTCGTCACTACTGGACGAGTTATTGCAGATGCTGGAAGCATGACAACTGACCTTGCAAAGGGTACTGATGCAATTAGCTCCATATTCTCAATGCTTGATCGAGTTTCCCAGATTGAACCCGAAGATTCTAATGGCTCTCGCCCTGAAAAAGTGAGTGGGAAGCTGGAGTTTCTTAATGTTGACTTTGAATACCCAGCACGACCAAATGTTATTGTCTTGAAGGGATTCTCCCTCCTCATTGAGGCTGGCAAGTCAACAGCACTTGTGGGCAAAAGTGGGTCCGGTAAGTCCACAATTATTGGGCTTATTGAGCGGTTCTACGACCCATATCAAGGAGAAATTAAGATTGATGGTAGGGATATAAAGTCTTACCACCTTCGCTCACTGAGGCGGCACATTGCATTGGTGGAACAAGAACCAATGCTCTTCTCAGGAAGCATCAAAGAAAACGTTGCATACGGGATTGAGGGTGTGATGGAGACAGAGGTAGAAGAAGCTGCACGAGCTGCTAATGCCCATGACTTCATTTGCAGACTTAAGGATGGCTATGACACATTGTGCGGGGATCGAGGGGTACAGTTATCAGGAGGGCAAAAGCAACGGATAGCTATCGCAAGGGCGATACTGAAGAGACCAACCATATTGCTACTAGATGAAGCAACAAGTGCGCTAGATAGTGAGTCGGAAAAAAAGGTGAAGGAGGCGCTAGAGAGAGTGATGGACAGAAGAACCAGCATAATTGTTGCACACCGGCTTAGTACCATACAGAACTGTGATCTTATTGCAGTGTTAGACAAAGGGGTCATGGTAGAGGAAGGAAACCACAGATCCCTCCTAGACAAGGGACCCAGTGGATTTTACTACAGGCTCCTCAAGCTCCAGCAAAACACAAAAGAATGTATTTAGGGAATTTCATATCAAAGCAAAAAAGTTCTTACCATTTAATTTTGAGAATTCTGATTCTTTTTTATTTGTTAGTAAAACAACTATTAATTTCTAGCTCAGGTTTGTTAATTTTACGAACTCAACTTCCATTTATTGAATGATCATAATAGTTCTTTCTACTTACATTGGATCCATATGGTGCAAAATTTTAATAAAGAAAAATCATATTTATGAACATAATTTAAACAACCTTTCAAATTTAATTTTAAAAAATCAGCCTCTAGCATTTCCAAACCCCAACAAACAGACGCATGGTATTACTCGCCCTGGAAATTTTCTGATTGCAAAGAAAATATCCCATTGTGAGATATCTTACCCTGAGAGCCAATTAATTATTTTTAGACTTGGTCATCACGAAAATTTCCTAGTCGCCGGTTGGAAAGTACCCAATCCGAGAGCTCTCAACCCCGAGAATGTTGTTAATTTAATCCTGCAGGTTGATTTATATTCCATCATCACAAGCATGACCTTAGTGGAGATTTTAGTGGAGATTTACTCTAGAGTATCTGGACTTCTGCAAATTGCATATGAACATCCTAAAGTTCCCTAGTGTACAAGAATGGTCATCAAGCATTCTCATCTGCAACTTCAAACTGAACATCTTACTTGGTAGACAACTTCAAATGTCACTACATGCATTTCTCATGAGTCGTGGACATTAAATAATAACTATACTTAGAGATGCATCATTTATCATTTCAGTCTAATCCGAGAAATAAGGCTCCATGAAATTTCACAAGTTACGCTACCAACTTTGTTCCTTTGCTCACTACTAATACCACAGTCCAAGACTTCTCCCAGTAGAATAACTATGGAGCAGGATTAATAATTAGCATAGCATAAGGCATCAACCCGATTCTAGTCTTTATAGGTTGATGCCTGATACCAAAGAAAATTAAGAAACTAACACCTGAAGTGGAACAATCTTTCTATCAATCCAATGAGAAGCATTAAATGAGGAGCCAGCCTACAGGATACACTTCAATAAATTCAATTATCCTGGATCCGTAGTTCGCCAATTTTCTTATTATATCAAGTTAAAGTGGTGACTTCCATGCCGTTCAAGAAAAGTATTACCATTTTTCATAAAAATTAGAAATATCTCATGCTTTTCTATATACCTATTAAGCTAGCTTTATAGGCAGCTGAATCTGCAAACCAAGCTATACCCAAAGATCTATCAAGATTTACAGCAGAATCAACCACCTGTTTACATAATAAGAACTAGTGTGCAAACATGGTCCCTACACTAAATTAACCCATGGGGAATTTCAAGGAAGAAAAGAAGAGAGCAAAAAGACACCCTCAGAGTATATCAAGTCACTAGGTAGCTTCACTGTCCATTCGATGAGTAGACAAGTCTATAAAGTTACTAGTAGGAGAAGGACATATTGCCTATTTATCAACCATTTTTTGAAATTCTCTACCTGATTTTGTCTCTTCATCCGATTTTCACCCCCAAAAAAGAAAAAGTCATCTGAACAACAGAAGTACTGATCCATTTTGCTTGTTCATACACTATGCATTTATTTGAAAACGTACAGTTCATACTAAAGAAGTTTCCCAAAACAAAGGAATCATGTGTCAAAAACTACAACATGCAGAAGTATTGATTGCACAATTTACACAACAACAATGGATTTGATCACAGCAGCTAATTATACTTGTGTAAAAAGATGTCTATAGCTATTGGCACAGATATTAATGCTTCAGGTTGCCTTTCTGAGAAGCCTAGTCACTGGCATGACACTATGGAGCAAAAGGTAAATGATAGCATTGAGACACATTGTCCGATATGCGTACAACAGGACACAAACTGAATATTTGACATAAGTGCATTAGGGATATGCTTTTCATAAGAAGCCCATTCAACTTACTTTCCGCCTAGTTTGAACAAAAACAAAGCTACAGATTTTCTCAGATTAGAAATAGGGGAAAATGTTTTATGCCAGTCAAGCATACCAAGTTACGTTTGCAGTCAAACCTGGTCCTGTATAAACAAAACAAATGTGGCAACCAGTTAAGCTACACTTTGCCAAACTGACAAAACACTCAGAAGCATGCTTTTGAAGTCCGACTCAAGCCTCTTCCACTTTTCTTTCTTCATTCAGCTTGCCCTCATCTAGATTATTAGGACTAAAAGCTTAGAAATGGATTGGACCACTGACAACAAGGATTTTCAATACTTTAATATTTTTCTCTAACATGATGATCTACCTAAACCACTTTCATAAGGTTTCTTTTTTCATCTACGCGCATCCCACCACCAACAGTGGAAAAGCTTGCTCAAGAACCGAGAGCCACAGTTCAGCTTTTTTCCCTTCTCTAGAACACATGATCACATCATAAAAGTCTTGTTATCGGTTTAGCAATGTCATAGTAGGTAAGAAAATGAGAGCCACTCAAAAAATACAGACCAATTATGACCAGTTGCAGTTGAAGCTATTTAAGGAAGTATCTAGATATCTTCTAGTGACACCAATCAGCACATATTCTCTGTTAACGAGAGTATTTAAGACTTCACATCCATACAAATTATAAGTCCCAAGGATACCCACAGAAAACATATACAATTCGCTGATTTCAGAGTTTTACATCACCAGGATAAGAAGAAACCAAAAAGAATATATGAGACATACGAATGGATCATAGCAAAAAGGTCAATTTGTTTCTCTTTACCAGCAGATTAGCTATACTGAAGGATTATTTAGACAAGCAAATAATGATACCCAAAGAAAAATACATTCTCTTCCTTTTAGATGGTTCATAGAACAGAAAAGTTTATGGTTATATTCAAATACATCAATTTTCATGGTTTAGACAGAAAATTGACTATTTGCATTTAAGATAAAACAATAAACAGAAACTCCTAAAAGTTAATAGGAAATTAACAGAAAACGAGAAGAAAATTCACCTTTCTTAACCTCTTTAGCTTTCATGGCTGCCTTAATTGGAGCCACATCTACACAATCAATTGAAAGACCTGTGATGGTTTAAAGATATAGCAGTTGAAGGAGAAACATTTGGAACTCTGGAGCCCATGCCTTGAACTGGAATCCCTGCAGTTTTACTTTAAACATTATTCAGATATAGTACATCAGCTAGCCCTAACTAATATAGTATCAGAAAAGCATCCCTTATTAAGTTCGGAATCATTTTAAGGTAAAATGCAAAAAATGTGTTTCTACCCTCCCCTCTAACCTCTCCCTTCCCCGTTCCTTACACAACCAACATAGAAAATAAGGTGGTACTTTTTCTGATAAACATGTTGCAATAAGAAAAACTTTTAGGCTCTTTCAACTCCAATCAAGAAAACTAGAAGAAACAAAAAGTTACACCTATGAATCTCAAACAGAAAACTACTTACAAGAGGTGGGCAGAAAGTGTCAGAAGCTTATCCAGCGTATGAGGATGATCCATGAACTCGAAACCCTGCACTTTGACATTGAAAATAATGCATGTCCTTCGGATATTGTGCTTAAAGCAACAGGCACACATTTTGATGACAGGGAATTATTGCCAATGAACCAGGTTGGACAAAGCAAACCATACAGCAGCTTATACAAGCTGCGCAACAATAGTAGCTTATCAATAAGCACATAAATCAAACTAAATATAATGTGAGAATTGGATCTGACTGGATAGTGGTCTCACTCTCTTACTGAACAAAGAGAAAGTATGTGGTTGGATTGGAACACAGACCTCCCTCTTCAGAGTGCATATAGCCAATATTAACCTTTCCCTGGATTTTCTCCCACTAGTAGATGATCTATCTTTCTCTCACTATGATCTATCATTCCAAGGCTTTAAAAGTGTCCTCTTCAGAAATATTGGTAGCCACTTCCTAAACTTCACTAGCCATGTAGGAAGGTGTTCTGTAGGAAGGTGTTCTGGCAGTTGGTCCAAGAGGCTGTCCATCTTGATCCTTCTGAAAGTCTCTGAAAATGATTTTATAAATGCATTTTTTTATTTCAGACTTCTTGAAAAAGATCATCACAAAATGGGCTTTATAACACTTGCAACAGTCTCCTCCAGCTTGCAGGTGATGACGTCAAACCCTTTGGACCCTTTGGACTGCAAATGGTTGCCTGCTTTAGAGGTGATCGCTATGGTGTCTTCCACCAGTCCAATTTCAGCCGGTAAATGAGAAAATGAGAGGAAAATCTCAAGTGAGAATAATGTAAGAACCTCTTTCTGTCAGGTGAAATAGAGAACAAAAGAAAAAGCGTTGTAATTTAAATACTAACAGACCTGAGTCAACAGAGAGTAGGAGGCCCCCAATAAAACCCTTCTGATCCTTGACTGTTTTCTATAGCAAATGACAGCACATTTTTAGGTACAATGATGAATACTGTAAAGAAACTTTGACTGACGGTGCGGAAAAAGAATTACTTACCTGTTAAGGTTCTGAAAGGAGACACTACTTTGGGTTCAAGCGAGCCATGACTCAGCTCACCCTCCCCATGGGTAAAGCTGCAGACTGCAGTGGCACCTCTCGCACAAGTGACGGAAAATAATGACAGCGAATCAGCAAAAAACCTCCGTCTTCGTGCTAAGATTGCATCAGTTTGAGGCTGCAGAAAGGAATTCTCAGATTGTTGCAAACAGGGAATTCCCTGTCTAAAATAAAAAATACCGGGAGCGGTACTTACCTCTCTCTGTTTTTGGGATAACTTGCAAACATAGATTCATGTAACTCAATTAACTCCTTGCTCGCAGCGCAAAATATGCCATGATTATGGTCTTCTTGAAAGTCCTCTCACGAAATACTGCAGAAACAATACAAGAGTCAAAAAAATAATGCACAATAGCTAGTTAAAGTTATATACATGCAGATGGCCATACCAAATCCTTGGTTTGCGGGGTTGATAATGAAGTGGATGTCTTGTGAACCTGTCGAATCTATTGGTCTTTATTTCCTGAGAAAGTAAACATAATGTGCAAAGAGAAGATAGCATGGTAGGATAAATAAAAACAATTAAGTCCAAAACAGGTACCATAGATTCAGTTACCTGTCTCTGCCGCGGATGAACTGTTGTAAGTCGTAACAGGTTCTGTTGAGATACTTTGGCACCATGGTTGAGCGAGAGCCGCACAAGCCTACAAAAAAAATACCACACAAGTAAAACATTGTGTAAATGAGTGCAAACATAAGTTATATTCTAGCAGCTTTTAGTTTACCTTAGATTCCAACGAAAAGGCCTTGCTTTCAGGCACAAGTGGGATACTGTATTTCCATCTCTGTCAGTTTCACTGGTGTCAGCTCCTGCCTGAAAAGCAGCTTTGACACAGGTTCATCTGCAACCTATGACAAGAAAATACCAAGAAAATAATGTAATGTTATTACTTTTATTCTAAGTGCTTAGGGTTATTACTTTTATTCTAAGTGCTGGGTAAAGATCCGAATTTTCTATAGTAACCCCATGTCTTAAATCACGCAACAGTTTGGCTAAATGAGAAATGGCAGCAATGCTGAAGCACCCTCAAAGATTTCTGATATTCACAGTATGGAAAAATATGCCTTAGGTAGATATCCGACTTCACGTCCACTTGCATTTCTGAAGTTCCTAAATTCCTAGCTTAACACGAATTTTATTTATACTAATATTTAGTTAGGGCAGAAGTTGTTCACTGAGCAGGGAAAATCTTTTATAACAATGGCAGCAATGCTGAAGCACCCTCAAAGATTTCTGATATTCACAGTATGGAAAAATATGCCTTAGGTAGATATCCGACTTCACGTCCACTTGCATTTCTGAAGTTCCTAAATCCCTAGCTTAACACGAATTTTATTTATACTAATATTTAGTTAGGGCAGAAGTTGTTCACTGAGCAGGGAAAATCTTTTATAACAAAATCAAAAGCTGAGTTTGAGGCAAAATTATTTACAAACTTGATACTTTAGGATTTTCATATATGTGGACCTGAACTTATATATTTGAACGTAAATAACAAATAGAATTTATGATAATACAATTGCACAAAAGTCGATATAGCACCAACCATGAATGTCAATGTCTTTGTATGTCATACGACAATAATATATCTAATGTTGCTTGGGAGCTTTATCGATTCCAATAAGATGTGAATTGGGTCAAATGAGAAAGATCCAAATAAAAACTACTCAAACTGGAAAAGGATCAAAATCTGGATTCTAACCGTTGCAATTAAGGTAATCCAATTGAATTGGGTCTTTCAGAGACAAAAACCAATTCAGATCCTTAATAAATAAAGGACCAGCAACAACAGTCTACTTATTAGTAAATTGCTGTGGTTATCCATAAATAGCGTTGTTTATAACCCCAGTATGCAAGCGCAGTGCAATTTGGTATCTAATGGAAAAAACAAAATTGAGGGCTCCACCAACGATCTGCGTCCCTACCGTGTTAGATAAATCTAAGTAGTTGGTATTTCACTTTAACATTTTAAATTACTTTTGGCTTCACAACTAAAATCAATAGCTGTGTAGTAGTCTCTCACATAAGTCAACACAAGCCCACTTTCTCGTCCCTGTATAAAACCAATAAAGCTATTTTTCTAGTATCTAAACATTGGATTGAAACCTAGAGTAACCCCACAATAACTGGAAACGAAGCAAAGGCAATATACAAATAGATTAAAGCCAAATATTGAATGCTTTATACTAAAATTATCAAATCTTACTTTTTACTTGTTCAACATGTTTTCATTGTCAAATGCCCTCATTTAGCACAAGTTTCACAACGGAACCATGTTTACTTCTATTGACTATTAAACTCAAAAGAGTTTAGTAAAAAGTCATATACTTACTCAAGTAAGTTCGATTAATGATAGAAAATTTCCAGGTCTAATGGCGGAAACTTCAATGAAATTTAAACTGTCAGTACAAAATAAAAATTACTTACCTTGATTATGGTTCTGCAATAAAGTACCGCCTAGAGTTCAAGAGAGGAAGTTGCAGCTGGCACTTTTCATTCACACATGCGCTGGGTGAATCATAACATCGACAAATCTCTCTTCGTGCTAGGCTTGCGTCAGTTGAGGCTGCAGAAGAGAATTCTCGGATTGTCGCAAACAGGGAATGTTTCATCTAAAGTAAAAGTTACCTCTCTTCGTTTTTGGGATTCCTTGCAAGCATGGGTTCATGTAACTCAGTTAACTCTTTGTCAGCAGATCAAAATATGCCATGATTTTAGTTTTGAGAAGTTATGTTATGAAATAATACAGAAACAATATAAGAGTCAAAAATGCACTTAGCTAATCAAAAAGTCATATACATACAGATAGGGAATTCCATACCAAATCCTTGGAGTTTGCGGGGTTGACAATGAAGTGGATATCTTGTGAACTTGTCAAAGCTACCCGTCTTTATTTCCTGAAGAAGAAAACACAATGTGTGAGAGGACAAGATAGCTGGAACTTGGAAGGATAAATAAAAACAATAAAGTCCAAAAAGGTACACGAGACGTAGTTGCCCGTCTCTGCCGCGACATGAACTGGCGTAAGTCCTAACATGTTCTGTTGAGACAGTTAGTGCACAAGCCTACAAGAATACTACACAAGCGAAACATTGTGTAAATGAGTGCAAACATAAGTTATATTTGTTGGAAAGTTAGTTTTTAAACATGTAGCTAAAACTTTTGACCATAGAGTGGGTCCCACGAGTTTGTTTTGTTGGAAAGTTAGTTTTTAAACATGTAGCTAAAACTTTTGACCATAGAGTGGGTCCCACGAGTTTGTTTGATTGCCAAACTAAAAAAAATACATGTAGCTAAAACTTTTGACCATAGAGTGGGTCCCACGAGTTTGTTTGATTGCCAAACTAAAAAAAATGTGGATTTGCTGCTTCTTTTTTGTGGACCCTCATGTGATGTTGCCATTTGTTTAAATTCAAACACGAGTTCATTAAAGAAATTAGGCATCGACTGCCTAATTTCATTGAAAAATCAAGTATGTGGGCCCCACATGAATAGTAACTAATAATATTTTATTAGTGCATAGTGTTTTTCAAAACGCTATAAATAGACCTCAAATTCTTAAGGAAAATTCATTCCAAAAACAACAATCAATATATACAGATATATATTGTAGAATAATTGTGCTTAAAGCATTATTTGGCCTACTCCGGTGCAAGGATCCCAAGGTCAAATTGCTTCCAAGAACAGCAGTCCAGTACTTAAAGCATTATTTGGCCTACTCCGGTGCAAGGATCCCAAGGCCAAATTGCTTCCAGGAATAGAAGTCCAGTACTCTGGTGTGCATCAACCCAGTACTGTCAAGATCTCCTCGATCTATAAGGCAAAGATCTCCTTGATCTATCAGGCAAAGACCTCCTCGATCTATCAGGCAAAGATCTTCTCGATCTATCAGACCTTCTCGGTCTAGGCACTGTTCCTATGAGCACTAGCTATTCTACAATATATATCTGTATATAGGGCTGTCCATTTTACCCGCCGGCCTGGGGCCCGGCCCGGAGCCCGGCCTCGGCCCGGAAATCCGGGCCAGGCCGGGTTCCGGGCCCGGGTCCGGGTTGCCTCAGCGGCTCCCGGCCCGGGCCCGGCCCGGCCCGGAACAGTACGGCGCCGGGCATCATCCGGGCCGGGCAGCCCGGGCCCGGAGCCCGGCCCGTGTGGCAACGGTCACAAATCGTGACCGTTGCCGGAAAAAAGCCGGCCCGGCCCGGCCCGGCCCGGCCACC